ATCTCTTTGCTCCGGGGGGGTGGGGGGGGATTCTGCTACCAGAGGCACAATTCTTGCGGATAAGAAGAATGGTCTAGTCAGAGGATGAGGCTCTGGACTAGTGTTCAGGCAACAAGGGTTTGATACCCAGCTCCGCTACAGCCTTCCTGTGTGACCTTAGGCAAATCATTGAACCTTTCTGTGTCTCAGTTCCCCATCTGTAAAATGAGTTTAATACTTCCCAGCCTCGTACAGGTATTGAGGATAAAATCCATTAATGACTGAGCTGCTCAGATACTAAGTGATTTGAACCATCTAAGTGCCTAGATCGATCGCCCTGCCTGAGCCAGCATGGCCGCGCACCACACCGGGCACAGGCGAGTCCATTATGTGAGCGAAAGTTTGGAGAACAGTGAATTGAATGGAGAAAGCAGAAGCTGGAATGGCTCCTGCAGAGGAGTTAGACCACGAATTTAAACCCTTTAAGCAGTGCACCATCAAATACTTTTGCTTGGCAGAGAAATGAAGAGACGCTTGAAAATTAAGTGCATGCCAAGAACCTGCAGGTGTTCAACTTCCTGGCCAGGTTGGAAAGGCTCAGTTGCTGTCGGATTTTCAATAAAGGCTCTGGCACAACGACTGAAAATACTCTTTGGAGGGATATCCGTTTTTGCATGGAGAAGTTACTGAATTCAGAGAAAAGAGGGCACGGGGGAAATATCTTTGCTAAAACTTTGGAGGGCGGATGCGATAAGAGAGAATTTCAGATACGCTAGGATAGAAGTATGCTGGTTAAGAGGAATGAGAGCCTTCCATTCCTGGATTTAAATCTGGTCCCAAGAGGAAGGGAAAATCTGGCAGCTGCCATTGGTTATCTTGTGGCACCGAGGATCTACCATCAAAGGAAAACATTTTACCTTGTGGAATAAGAGTTGGGCAAGCAAACTGTGGAAGCCGATAAAGGAAGACAATGCTGATACCGACAAGCAGGACAGCAAAGAACAGAGAGATTAAAGTTACTTAGGCTCCCAGTCGCCCCAACACAGAAAGATAAGACCCAGGAAAGATAGTGAAAATAGAGTTATAAAGCTAGAGGCAAGTTTGGTGTCCCCAAGAGTATTCTACTTAAACCTACATTTGTTCCCTGAGATACTGTACTGTCTGTGTGTGGTGATTAAGTGCTCTTTCGCTCCATAAATCAAGCAATTACAGCTTAATTTTTTTTGGCCGTATTTATGTAGGCAAAATTCCCACTGTCACACAGGATTTTTGCTTGTGTAGGTTTGGGCCATTAGTTATTGCTTTGGGTGTAGAGACTTTGCATGCTGTAAGTAGTAACAGATCCTCCCTGATAGGAAAGTGTTTTGCTGAGTTTGTATTTATGGCTTAGTTCCTTCAGATGTTGCGCATCTATTCACTTATACTAAGATCTTCCTGCTGTATTTCCCAGTCCACAGCAGTAACTATTCAGAATGATGAACCATATACAACTTATTTGACATTATCCAACTGCCAATAAAAATACATTTTAAATAGGCAAATACCACACCTCCCAGAATGAGAGATGAACTTTAATGCCATTCTGCATCTGATTGTATACGGGCTTAAGCACAGAACACAGATCATCTGGGATGATTAACATGTATTGTTTGAACTTTAGTGTTAAATTATTTAGCTTTTTCAAATGACATTGAAATTTAATTCAAAATAATTTATCATCATGGGAGGCATTTCTTGCCTTGAACAGGAAGGGGACTGGAATGGATTAGAACAGCAGTAATGCAAGATTGTGATTTTTTAATACCACAATAACAGAATGTGTTTTAAAATTTTGTCCCTTTGAAATTGTATCCTACAATTTCTAACCCCAAAAATATAAAATAAAGGATTATAAAATTCTCCAAGGGAGCAAATAATTTGCTTTAGTAATTTATGATGCAATCTTGATTTTTCCCTCCTTTTCAGGTCCCTTATTACTCCTCTTTCCAATTTTCCTGTCTCCTGCTCTGATTCTTCAGTAATTGGGGGCTTATTAATATCTCTTTCAGGAGTGGTTGGGTGAGGTTCTTTGACCTGCAATGTGGAGGAGGTCAGAGTTGATGATCATGATTGTCCCTTCTGGCCTTAAAGTCTATGGATCTGTGTATATATGTCTTCACCTTTCCCTCTTACTTTCCAAACCCTAGATCCTACCATCTCTGCTTCTGTCCCTCCTATCGGTTTCGGCTGGTTGCGCTGTAAATGATCTGCACTGGGATTTAGGAATTTTGGGTTCTATTCCCAGCTCTCTGCCATGGATGGTATGACTTGGGCCAAATCATTAAGGGCTTGTCTGCATGGTGACTTATCGCGCGGCAAGCTGGAGTGTGACTCTACAGCCGCTAGTTTGTTATGCACTAACTGGCCGTGTGGACATTGCCAGTTCTGCAGTAGGGTTTGACGTACTATTGAAAGTAATATGGAAAGTTTAGTGCACGGTAGCAGGCTACACACAGCCAGTTAGTGCCCTGTAGATTCACATGCTGGCTTGCCGTGCACTGAGTTTCTGTATAGACAAACCCAGGGGGTCTCTGTGCCTCAGTTTCCCATATGTAACATGGAAATAATACTGTTTTTCTCCCACCCCTGTGTCTTGTTTATGTAGACCATAAACTCTGAGCTAGGGACTCTCTCTTACTATGTGTTGTATAGTAGTGTTACTCAACAACCGGTCCATAGACTGGCGCCAGTCCCTGAGATCTCCCTGACAGAGTTTAGGGAGACAGCAAGCCGGTCTCTGGTATCAAAAAGGTCGAGAAACACTGTTTTATAGCACCTCGCCCAATGGGGTCTTGAGCCACGACTGTGATACAAATAATAGTGGCTACAGCCCCAATCTCTGATTAAAGCACGAACAGAACTGTACTCAGCAGGGCACTGCTATGGGCTCTCACACAAGGACATCATTTGTGTTGCTGACTGGCAGCCTGATGTCGCTCAGCCCCTGCAGCCAGCCTCCCCTCTTCTCTTTGGCGGGGGAGATGCTGGGAATGTGGAGTTAATGTGGTGATCAGCACCCTGGGCTAAGCCCCCCCATTCGCCTAGCTTAGGTGTGAGCAACCAGCTGCAAAACCACACTCGCTGGCGCTGCACTCCCCCAGGCGTGTCGCCGCCCCTAGGACTTTTCCAGGGGCGTGGCTGAGAGTTCTTTGCGCTGCTCTAGGATTCTTTCCCTGTGAATCGTGGGAGAAACTGTCCTTCTGGGCACATGAGGTGGGTAGCCGGGGGGAATTGTGGGGTGACAGTGGAGGACTATCAGCACTTGAGAGACAGGGTGGGGGGGAGGGAGGTAATATTTTTTTTTACTGGTCCAATGTCTTTCAGTGAGAGACAAGCTTTCAAGCTACACCAAGCACCTCTTCTAGTTCACCCACAGAAGTTGGGCCAGTGAGAGTGATGACCTCACCCACCTTGTCTCTCTCATATCCTAGCACCAACGCTGCTCTCAGCACTTGAGTACCTGCAGCCTCACGGCAACATGGACAGGTTTCTAGCCCAAGCGAAAGCAACACCCAGGTTTCAGCCTATAGCCCCAACTGGGCCAGCTAACCTGGGACGAAAGCACCAATAAGCTCAGGGCATTGGGTGATCAGACAGCAAGTGTGAAAAATCGGGACCGGGGTGGTGGTGGGTAATAGGAGCCTATATAAGACAAAGCCCCAAATATCAGGACTGTCCCTATAAAATCGGGACAGCTGGTCAGCCTATCAGGGCAGGTGGGGGAGCCGAGGGCAATATCCAAGTGAACGCTGCAGCGAAGACATACCCTTTGTTACCTGCCCAGGTAGCACTTTGATTCATCCCAAGCTGCTGGCCAAGAGAATTTCTCTCACACTGACACAATACCAAGAAAATGTATTGTCATTCACAGGCATGGTGGTTTCCTGCGATGACGGGGAATTCAGGAAACTCACATGGTGACTGGAACAGGCTGGCAGTGTTTGCCTGACACCCCACACTTGGTTAGCAGGTGTTGCTCCTGCTGTGAAAGGGTTAAGCAGGCTTTGTTGACTCACTGATTGAGCAGACAGGGCCTGCGGAGAAACCTCAAGCTGGGACTCCAGGGAGTGCTGTTTTCGGATTCCCTTTTTGGTCATACACCAGCCCCAGGTGGGGCTTCACAAGTGCACGGTCCGGTGTGGTGACTCCGCCCACTTGCAGTGACCCCCTTTTGCTAAAAGCCAGGCGAAAACACACACAAACAGCGGGTTTGCATCGAACGCCAAGTGGGCCCAGCAGCTTGAAGTTATTTCAGAATGGTTTGGTCTCTTTCCTATTTTGAGGGTTTATTTTAACTTGTTTGTACATGCGCAATCAATTAACTGTGGGCACATCCAGATGCATGTTGTATAGGCGATTTACAGAAAGAGAAGCAAATAAAGCAAAGATGCAAGAAGGAGGCAATTCAATTCGTGGAGGAACACTCCAGTTCAGCTATTCTGACAAAGGTCTGCATTCTGCTAGCCTGCTACGCCATCGACAATTAAACGAACTGCAGAACGAGTCACTGCCTTCTAATGCTGAACCAGGAACTTGGAGAACTACAAAGCCTTTCTTTCTTAGCATCACTGTAGACCTGCCTAGAACATGTCCCCACCCCAGCTGGCCTGGGTGACAGATTTAAAGAGACATAGCATGCATATCCTTGCATGGGACAATTTGTTGGTCTTCCCATTCATTCATTATGTAAAGTCTGGTGACTTTTGCTCCAAGTTCACAGAGAGTAGAGTAGTTTAAAAGTGCTAGAGAGATCATAAGTAACTTGCTTTTCATTTGATTAGAAGCCTTGAAATCTGACAGTATCTTTCCCCTTCCTGAAAACAGGGAAAAAATTAAAGGGACGACCTCAATTTAAATATGGAGCACAATTTAAACTAGATTTTTATATAAAATTTAAGATCAATGGAAATATTTTGAATTAAAAAAAAAAGAGGCCGTGTAATGTTTGGCACTGCCGAAATGAAACGGACAATACACAGAACTGGGCCACATCACCCATTTTAATTGTCCTAACTCTGAGAAATGCACAAGAAAACAAATAGCACCAAAAGCGGCAAGTTAATTGAATTTTTAAAGTTCTTGTACTTTCACTAAACAAAAGTAAAGAGATTAGTTTGTTTACAAGGTATGGGTGCTGCCACATCCATTTGGCTGTTTTTATTTCTTTTAAAGAGAGAGGCTCTCATTCTCACTCCTTTGAATGCATTTAACAGTGTTTCTTTTTCAGATGAACTATTCATTCCTGGAGGAATAAACTGATCCAAGTCGATAAGAGCTGCGTATATTTTCAGAAAGCCAAAGTCACTAGGTGTAGAAGAACAAATAATAAAGAAATCATTAGATTCTCCTGATGAGGCAACTTTAAGTTGAGAGGGGGGGGGGAGTGCACAACAGGGAACAAAGTACAGTGGTAGAGTTTAGTACAGTGAGATTCTTGCTGCAGTGTTCAGCTTCTTGTAAATCTCTCTCCCTCCTTCATCCCTCCTCCCAGGGAAAGGAGTCCTGGCCTAGGTACTGAATCGGGCAAGGTCTTTTCCCCTGGAAAACCAGAAGCAAAAGCTTCCTTGGAAGGGAAGAAAGTGACACGCTAAGAAAGCAGGGAGGAGCCCTCCTCCAGAGGCGGGCTCTGGGCATTTGCTTTGCCGGAGACCGCCCCCCTCCGGTCTCCTGAACTGGTTCCCAAGATCTCCGAGGGCACCAGCTAGAAGGGGGGGGGAGAGAGAGGAAAAAGCAGCCCACCAAAAGTGCAACCGGCGCTTCCCTGTTCCTTCCCGAGCCCCTCTCACTACACTATGCTGGTGTATCCGATACCCCGTGCGCGATCATCCCTCCTCCTCCTGCTGCCGCTGCTAATCTGCTCTCCGCTGGCAGTTGTGGTCACCGCAGAGCCCAGGGGGAACAAATCGGATGCGAGCGGTTCCCACTTTTAATAAAGTGAAGTTGGGGGGGTGGGGGGAGCTCTGAAGCAGGAGCAAGGGGTGGGGGCGGGGGTGGAATTAAAAGGGGGGCGGGGGGAGGCTGCTCTCTGTTCAGGAGCCGCTCACACCACCATGCCGCTGGTGCTATGGGCACTGGGATTAGGAACACTCTTTCTGCAGGACGTCTTGCATGTAGCCACCGCAGCAGCGAGGAAGCAGACGCTGCATCCAAGACAAGGTAAGAAGATGCTTTTGGCATCCCGAGCTCCTTCAGGGAAGTTTCCAGTTCTTTGGGCCGTTTCTTAGACCGCATTTTAACCTGGGGGGGGGGTATTTCTACCACTCTGCAGTATCCGTTTCATGGATTCCCTTGGCTTGCCCTCAGTCACCAGTGACAGAACTTTAAAAAGTTTGCGCCTTTCTCAGGCTGGGAAAACACGGTGCCCACAGGGCAGGGGGACAGAAGCGGCCGAACATGGTCTTCATTTCCTTGAAACCTTTCTGAAGCTGCAAATAGCCCGAGTTTAGAAACCCCTTTGAAGTGGAGGAAGGGTGCAGGGTTTGGGCAACTGGCCGTCCCTGGTGGGTTTATAGAAAAGCTAAGGATTCTTCTTGTGCTGGTGGAGGCAGGGATTGCCTTTTTTTGTGTACAGCGCCTAGCTCTGTGGGGGTCCTGGTCTAGATTAAAGTCTCTAGGTGCTCCAGCAATGCAAATACAGTACCACTACTTCACCACCCCGTGGCTGTTGCAGGCAACCGAGTGGTGCATTGATTTGTTTGGTAAGGATAGCTACCTCTATCCTCCCCCCTTGCTAGATACAACTTTAGAGAGCCAGGCCTGGCTGCGTTCATCCAAGAGAAGTGTGTGGGAAAAAGCTACGCCTTGCCTGACCTGAGCGAGAGAGCGATTCTTTACCGGGCATGTGTCTGTTCCTCTTTGCAGCCCAACTGCTGGAGAAACTCCGCGAGTTCGAGATCGTCACCCCCACCCGTGTGAACGAATTCGGAGCCCCCTTTCCCACGCACGTACACTTCAAACGAAAGAGACGAAGTATTAATCCTGACCCGGACCCTTGGGCCACCGACGACTCCTCCGCACACTACCGGCTTTCCGCCTTCGGGGAGCAGTTTCTGTTCAACCTCACGGCCCATTCTGGATTTATTGCGCCACGTTTCACGGTCAGCCTCCTCGGAGCCCCGGGGGTTAACCAAACCAGGTTTTACAGCGAGGAGGCCAGCGACGTAAAGCACTGTTTTTATAGAGGACATGTGAATACCCAGCCGCAGAACACTGCGGTCATCAGCCTGTGTTCAGGGATGGTAAGTGACTTCCCCTCCGCCTTCTTTCTTCGCTGCCTCTGGGGATTTCCGGGCCTGAGCTTCGCAGCCAGTCTTAAATCCGTATCTGCCAGGTGGTTATGTTTACACGAAACACCTTGCTGCGGAGTGCTTTGCCATGGTTCTCTCGCACTCCAGGATCGCCTCCGCTCCGCAGGGAAGTTGTGGGACGGCGGATGTCCAGGAGCTCGCCGCACTCTCCCCTGCGAGCTTGAGCGAGCTTGCCAGGGGCTCGCAGGGTCTGGGTCTGCGGGGGCCAAGTAGCAATGGAAGTAACTGACGGCCACAGCTGTGTCCGCCCTGCGGCATGGGAGCCCGGAGCCTCTGCCCTGTTTTCTCTGGAGGTCACCAGGGGCCGGGGCTTGTTCACACGCCGGGGTCCGGGAGCACCGAGCGGAAGCAAGAAGGTGGGGTCACCCCGGGGGCTGCTCGCCACACGAGCCGGTGCCTGCTGACTGGACGCCAGCCGCAGTTAAGGTGGAGCGAGGCACGCGGGGGCGAGGCCCCCTTTCTGTGCCCCCAGCAACCACACCGAGTTACCCCCCCCGCAATGCAGAGAGGCCGCTCCAGTCCGCTTAGCTCTTCGCCCTGCAGACGCGCCGGGCTGACTTTTGGGGGGGGGGGGTTGTAAAGGTCTGGCCTGGAGCTCTGCCCTAAATAGAGCGGGGGGCGCTCAACCGGTGGGGGGGGGGGGGGTTTAAGCCACGTCTGTCCCAACGTGAAGTGAAGGACAGGGGGTGCTAGTGCGGCACCCCGCCCCCCCAACCCGGCAGAGCTTG